GGGGGGGGGGGGGGGGGGGGGGGCCCCCGGGGGGCCCCCCGGGGAGCAGCAGCATTTATGAATTATTAAGCAGAGAAGCAAATTTGGTTTGCAAGAAGCAGCGGAAGGCAACAGCAAAGTTGGAAAGGACTTTGGACTTGTTGGTGGATGCGCTCGAGGTAAAAGAACCCTGCTGCTGCTGCTGCTGCTGCTGCTGCTGCTGCTGCTGCTGCTGCTGCGCTGCGGAGTGAGTGCTGGGCAGCTGCTGCTCGTGTTGGTGCTGTTGCTGTTCCTGCTGCTGCTGCTGCTGCTGTTGGTGCTGTTGCTGTTGCTGCTGCTGCTGCTGCTGCTGCTTCTGATGCCGCTGTTGGCAGCCACGGCTGCTGCTGCACACACTGTAGTGGAACTGCTTGGGGGCCCGTCGGGGATTCTGCTGCAGCTGCTGCAGCTGCTGCAGCTACTCTCGCTACAAATTTTGCCGTTACTGCTGCTGCTGCTGCTGTTGCTGCTGCTGCTTTCCCTAGTTCCGTAGCAATATGCACTCTTGAGTTGCTTCTGCTGCTGCTGCTGCTGCTGCTGTTGGTGCTGGAAGGCCACGAGAAGAATTTTAGAGGCAGCTCAGGGGGCACCAAAGGGGGTTAACGGCGGTAGCAGCGGTAGCAGCAGCAGCAGCAGCAGCAGCAGCAGCAGCAGCAGCAGCAGCAGCAGCAGCAGCAGTCATAGCGGCACAGTAGCTGCTTCGTCGGCTGAAGAACAACAACGGGGACGGCAGCAGGAACAGCAGCTGCAGCAGCAGCAGCAACAGGAGCAGGAACAACGACAGCAGCAGCAACAACAGCAGCACCAGCAACCAGAAGACCAGCAGCAACAGCAAGAGCAGCAGCAGCAGCAAGAGGGGAAGCAGGAGCAACAGCCACAGCAGCAACAGCAGCAGCAGCAGCAACAACAGCAGGAACAGGAACGCCAGGAACAGCAGCAGCCCAACAGCTCGGCAGCTGCGGCGCCGGAAGGGCCAGAAGCAGCAACAGCAGCAGCAGCAGCAACAGCAGCAGCAGCAACAGCAGCAGCAGCAAAGGCTTCTGAGGCAGCTGTGCAAACAGCTATGACTACTCTGGGGGCGCAAATCTCCCTCTTGGGCTTGGAGGAAGCAATTGGCCAAGCCCAAGAAGCTCCCTTTTTGCTGCTGCTGCAGCTGATAAAGAAAGCAGCAGCAGCATTTGCTGACGACATGCCTGCTGCTGCTGCTCACCTGCCTGCAGTGCAGCAGCAGCTGACGCCGCTGCTCGCGCAGACGGCGGAGCCGCAGCCAGTGCAGCAGCAGCAGCAGCAGCGGCAGCAGCAGCAGCAGCTGCAGCTGCAGCAGAGGCGCCAGCAGCTCGCCCAGCTGCTGCAGCAGCAGCACAGTCACCCCGACCCCCGCCTGCCGCAGCAGGTGCTTGCGGCTCTAAGGCAGGAGCTGCAGCAGCTGCTGCAGCTGGAGCAGCTTCAGTGGCAGCAGCAGCACGGCGAAGAGGAAGGCTCCCCAGCAGCAGCAGCAGCAGCAACAGCAGCAACAGCAGCAGCAGCAAAGGCCAATGCCGTCCAGGGCCCGCAGCTTATCATTGCCAAGCTTCTTGCACTCCATTTCCTTCATCAGGGCCACTTCGCTCTCTACGACCTCTTATGGTGAGTGTTGCTGCTGCTGCAGCTGCTGCTGCTGCTGCTGCAGCTGCTGCTGCTGCTGCTGCAGCTGCTGCTGCAGCAGCTGCTGCTGCTGCCTGTACTGCTAGAGTTGTTGGCGTGTGTGCTGCACCTGGTGTCGCTGCTGCTGCTGCTGCTGCTGCTCCTGTTGCACATGTTGAGATGCTGCTGCTGTTGCCTTTTGCTTCTGACGTCACTGCTGCTGCTGCTGCTGGTTGTGCTGCTGCCCACGTTGAGATGCTGCTGCTGCTGCTGCTGCACCATTTGCTGCGAGCTGCTCCCGGCTGTGTGCAGTGAGGAGCTCGCCATGCAGCTGCCTGCTGCCAAAGCGCAGCAGCAGCGGCAGCAGCTGCAGAAGCAGGAGGCGGAGCAGCAGCAGAAGCAGCAGCAGCAGCAGCAGCAGCAGCAGCAGCAGCAGATCCGCGAGGAACCTGATCGCGACGATTGTGAACCCCCGCCGAAGAAGAAGTTGCAGCATCTAGATCGGGTGGTGCAGCAGCTTGGGGATGTACAGCAGCAGCAGCAGCAGCAGCAGCAGCAGCAGCAGCAGCTAAAGCAAGAGCAGCAGCAGCAGCAGCAGAAGCAACAACAGCTACAGTGTCCACCACAGCAGGCCGAGGCGGGACTGTTTAATTCCCTCAAGGGGCCAAGCCCTCAAGAGGCTGTCAGCAACAGCAACAGCAACAGCAACAGCAGCAGCAGCAGCAGCAGCAGCAGCAGCAGCAGCAGCAGCAGCAGCGTGGAGACTCGTTGCTCGAACGGATACTGTTTCTGTCTCCACTGTGGAGAGCGGTGTGGCACAGGCAGCAGCAGCAGCAGCAACAGCAGCAGCAGCAGCAGCAGCAGCAGCAGGCCCCATCCACCACAGCTGCTGCCCTGTGCAGTAGTTGCTGCGTACAAGAGGATGCATTACGTGCGTGCAGAAGCTGCTGCTGCTGCTGCTGCTGCCACTGCTGGGTTTGCTGCTGCTGCCCGTTGCTTTGCTGCTGCAGGTGCTGCTGCTGCTGCTGCTTGGCGCTGTTGCTGCTTCTCGGCGTAGCAGCCGAGCAGCTGCATGCTCAGGCTTCCAGGCTGCTGTTTCTGCTGCTGCTGCGTTTGCTGCTGCTGCGTTTGCTGCTGCTTCATTTGCTGCTGCTGCGTCTGCTGCTGCTGCATATGCTGCTGCTGCTGCATGGCAGTGTTACTTTCTTCATTATTTTTTCTTGGCCTGTAGGGGGGCTCGGCGTTCGCGCTGTTGCTGCTGCTGCTGCTGCTGCTGCCGCTGCTGCTGCTGCTGCTGCTGTGGCTGTTGCTGCTGTTCCTGCGCTCTTTTAGCGCATGCTGCTGATGGCAATTTTGCTGCTGCTGCTGCGTCTGCTGCTGCTGCTGCTGCAGGTGCTGAACTCGCTGCGAGAGGCTCGGCTAGAGCAGCTGCTGCGGTGGGGGGCCCTGCCGCCGGCAGAAGCAGAAGTGCTGCAGCAGGAGCAGCAAAAGAAGAAGCAGCAGCAGCAGCAGCTGCTGCTGCAGCTGTCCCCGCCGAGCGCCG